AAAATCTGGCGTGGGGAGGATCCACTTCAGAATTCTATTGGCCGGGTATTGTCGCTCGAGCCTGTCGACCAGCAGGCCGTGAAAGCCCGGCTGAATGTTATCGAACTGAACCCATAAATTTTCCTTCATCAGGGTCTGTTTGTAGGAAATTGCAAAGGCCGGGGTCTGACTTTGGGCTGACAGTTTCTTCCATTTTGTGATTGTGCAGACCGAGCCATGGCAATTCCTGGATTGCATTTCCGTTGTTATCTTTGCATGTTCCTCATTGACGAACATGACCATGATGTTATTACGTCCCAGGCTTTGTAAGGAGAACTTCTCCCCTATATGTTTGAGCCGCGGCTCCTTTCTGATCGTGTCGATAACCCATTTTCTCTTTTCCGCGGGCTGGAGATCTGCGCCGTGGCGTGCGAAGTTGAAAACCACTCCATGTTTTTCATGCAGATCATCCAATTGTGCAACTTTCTCCTCCGGGTACTTCCAGACTACTACTTCTTCCTGCTTTCCATCGACCAACTGTGTTTCGGTTGTCTCGATCCCTTGTACTTCCGTTCGTTCGATTAGGAATTTGAGGGCCTCATTGTCAATGATATTGGGTTGCTTGTCAAGGACCTCGCTTTCGGCTGTTGCCGTTGCCATCTTTGAGGTGTTCGTTGAAGGATAGACAACTGATTAAAAGATTCTCGACTGCTGTTGAGTTGTACTTGTTGTAAGGCCTCAATGTTTAATGGCTAGCTACTACTAGGAGGAGTGCGATTGACCCTTTGCCTCTGATCGTGAGATCTTACGAACACTTATTTGAGAGCGAACATGTGTAATCAGCACTAATCAAAACGAGCTTATACGACCAATGGTGAGTTAATTGAGGAAGAAGAAGGATTAGCTGGATAACTTCTGAGGGATGGGGTCCGGACCAAGAAAATCTACTGAGAGGAGATGGCGAGGTAGCGGGGTGGTTCGTAATGGAGAAGGGGGCGTAGAGGGCCGGTAGGGGGGGCCGGGTGGTCGGGATAGGATTGGGGCGAGAAGGGAGTGGTCTCAGTTCGGGGTGGGAGGGAGATTGAAATGAGGATCGGATGGTCGGGTGGGATCAGATTGGGGTTGGGAGAGGGGTGAGGACGGTGTTGTGGTCAGTTGAGGTGGGGGGCGGTTCACGTTGAGACAAGGGTCGGATCGAAAATGGGAGAAGAAGGAAAAGGGGTGAGGTTGGGAATGAAAAGGGGGTGAGAAGAAGACAATGTAGACGTGAAATGGATGAATCGGGATCGGGGTGGTAGCGAGTCGGGAGGTGGGGGACAGATCGGGGATGAGCGTTGGGAGAGGGAGGTGTCGAAGAGGAGTCGGGGGTGGGGGCGGTGTGGAGTCGGGATGGGGTTGGGTTGGTATCGGGGTGGGATCGGGTCGAAGTCGGGTAGAGTTGGGACGGGGACAGGGTCGGGATGGGTTCGGATTGGGATCGGGATGGGGTTGGGAGTGGGATGGGGTTGGGATGGGATGAGCTGGAATGCAAGGCGGTAGTGTTGACGGGGATGAGAGTTGGGAGAGAGTGGTTTCGAAGATGAGTCGCGGGTGTGAACGGTGTGGAGTCGGGATGGGGTTGGGTTGGTATCGGAGTGGGATCGGGTTGAAGTCGGGTAGAGATTGGGATGGGGTCGGGGTGGGTTCGGATTTGGATCGAGATGGGGTCGGGAATGGGATAGGGTCAGGATGGGGTGCGCAGGGATCGCGAAGCGGTTGCGTAGGGGTCGGGATAGGACTGGGATATGGTCGGGTTTCGTTCAGAGAGGGGTCTGGGGGAGAATGAGGTGGCGACGAGGTAGATGCACTTCAGAGTGGAATGGGATAGGGATCAAGGACGGTTAGGAGAGATGGAAGAACCGATGAAAGAACCGAGTTGCGTTACCTACAGAGCCGATTGGAGGGGTCGGGTTGGGAGTAGGCACGGGTTGGAATGAGATCGGGTTGGGATCGGGGTGGGGTCGGGGTTGAATCCGGTTGAGGTCGGGAGGGAAATGGGAATGAGATKGGGTCGAAATGGGATCGGGATGGGGTAGMGTTAGGGTCGGATTGCGATCGGGGTRGGATCGCGGCGAGYGYGAGGGGGGGCTGAGGAGGTTGCGTTTCGGAAGTAAGATGGGGTGAGGTTGAGAAAGGATTGGGAGGGGAGTGGAATGGAGCCGTGATTGTAATTGAAAAGGGAAATGTTGGAGTCAATATCGAAAAATGGAAGAACAACGGATTGAAATCGAGATTGTCGTCGAGGTTGGGATCGGGGGGAAGGGAGATTGAAAAGGGGGGTTGGGATTAAGACTGAGAGTGAAATTGAAGAAGAGGTTGAGATCGAGGTTGAAAAAGAAGAGGAGAATGATTCAGAGACGGGGGTAATCGGGATCAATCTGGGGGGCAGATCGAGTTGAGGTGGGGTTGAGCAGGAACGAGATTGAAAGGCAGTCGAAGCCGGCGGTAAGCGGGGACGGAGTAGGGAACAATGTTGGGATCAGGAGTGAAGTCGAAACAGATCGGGTTTGGGGGGCGTCACGTTTTGGGGTTGAGGGGGAGAAACAAACTACGAGAAGCAAGCGAAAGCTAGTGAGGGGGGTGGGTAGGCGACGGTGGCGAAAGGGATGGTCTCAGGGTTGGGTCGGACTGAAAGTCGGAAGAGAGTTGCGCGCGAGTCACGCTGAGTCGAGGAGGATTACAAAGTGAGGGGGGTTGAGGTAAGGTTGGGATCGGGTGAAGAATTGAGTGGGATGAAATTGGGGGGCAGAATTAATATGAATAATAGGGATCAAAGTGACAACGGAAGGAGGCTGGAGAAGGATAGAAAAGAGAAGCGATCGGAGGGTGAGTGGACAGGAGTCAGTCAGAGGGGGATGAAGAGTTGAAAGAAGGGATGGATAAGGGTTAGACGAGGAGGGGGGTCGGATGTGGGAATTAGCAAGTTGCTCTCACTGCCGATCTTGGTCCTCTTGGAGCTCTGGGATTCGGTGACGACTGTACTTGATTGCTTCAGGCTGTTCGACGTTGTCCCACTTTTGCGATGGCAAGGGCGCGTGCGCACCTCTTAAAGTCCGGGCGATGCCCTCCTAGCGGCTTCCCTCCTGCTTCATTCTATTCGGTGGCCATGGCGGAGCGCGCGCGCGCGGGGCGCGCGCTTGTGGTGTCCGACGTGGGTCGGGCTATGGCGAGAGCGCAGCCTTCAGTGCAGTTTGAGACGAAACCCGTGCGGGGCCGGGGGACGGCACGGCGCGAGCGCTGTGATGCGCTAACCGGGCGGCGCTAGCGCGAGTTTTCCAGTCACTGCATGTCGCCAATCCTTGCGTACCCCTAATTGTTTGTTTGTTTGTTTGTTTGTTTGTTTGTTTTCTTGCCGTTTTGAGCCCAGCAGGACTTGATCCCTCGAGCTGTTAGTGCTTAGGCTCTCTTGTCTGTAGGCTTAGAACCACTGGGATTTTCCATTTTGTCTTTTTCTGCTCTTCTTTTCTAGCTTGGAACAGTCCGAGATGTCAGTTCGTGTTCGTGCT